GTTCTAAACAGCCTGAAAATCCTGAGGGTTTATTTTTTTTGCATAGTCTGTGACTTATTTTCACAGATAGCAGCATGACTGATTTTTTGGATAACATTTCCTTTTTTGCAGTGGCAAAGCTGTTTGCTAGTTACGAGCACATTGCCAACAACCCCCTGGAAATACACGTCCCAGACGAGTGCTCCTATTTTGCTGTGGTTATAAGGATGAAGAGGGTGGGATTACTCCAGGTTTATTCATCAATGGAAGCTGGACAGAAAATAGCTTTCCAAGTACTTCTGACACAAGCTTTTCTTTTGTGCCTCTGCTGCTGCTGCCTCTCTGTGCTGGTTCCACAGTCCATTGTTGTTAGAGATCTGTTTCCACTGATGGACATGGAACTGTTCTTTCTCCCAATGCAACCTAGTTCTTGTGCGGCACAAGAGGACTTTCTGCTTCCATCCTGACTTCCAGTGCAGTGGAACTCTTCCCTTTCCTCAGAGCCCAGCATCCTGGCATGTATCTCACTTCCCATTGCTCAGCACTTTCTTTAACCTGACCAGATGCTCAGGTGCCTTCTTTGTGCAATAAATAGGTTTCAAGATATGCTCCAGCTGCTCAGTCCCCCACTTCCCAGTTCCTATTGACAGAGCAGTAAGAAAGCAGAGGCTGAATATCAACAAGCCCAAGTGTGACAGCGTGCTCGTGTAACGGCAGGGGTGAGGGGGATATAGGATTTATGTATTTATGGTGAATATTTTTTGTTATTTTCTAGGTATGAAGGTCACAAAAGCAAGCTGCAGGCGCAGTGAGTGGCTCTGCCACTAAAACTCTGAGATAGAATTTCTGTGTTTTGTAGTGTTTAATATTTCATGGATTTTCAAATGCCAATTATGAGTTAGAAGCTGCCTGCTAGGAACAACATGCAGCCTTGAAGGGACTTGCTTCAGTTCCTCCAATCTATACCACATGTTAATTAACTCTTTTATTATCTGAGAAGCCAAGGGTTCAAGGGTGATGCCTGAAACTCTCACCCAAGCAGAGCTAGTCTTAGCAGGCCAGCATGCAGAAAGCTTGCACTGCTGCTTCCTGTACTCTGAGCAAGAGGATACCAGTTTTTATGGCTCTCAGTCTGTACTTGTATAATCCTGAGCTCAGTAGGAACCTGATTTTTCACATTTGCATTGCGGCACTGTATTTTTATTAAAGTAGCATCACATATATATGTACATAAAGTTGACAAAATCCCCTAAGAAACAAGCAAATCTTTGGCTGCTTCACCTGCATTCTCCCTACTAAATCAGCTCCCTTTGTATCTCTGCCAGCTCTTAGAGCAGTATCTGATAAATATTGTTAAAAAAAAAGATAATTTTCCTCAAAAAGAGCTTTCCTTTTTTCTGGTATGTGCGTTCTCTATACCCCCTTTGAATATTCTGTGCAGCCTATGATAGGCAAGGCTTAACCCAGCAACAGTCTCAGCTTTTCTGAAATGTTCTAAAATGTGCCTACAAAGGCCCATTGCTAACATGGAAAGCACTGCCATAATGCCAGTAGTAAATAATGTCCTTGATGGTAGCTTCATACCATTGGACAAGGATAATTTCCAGCCTCCTGCACTTAATTCTTGGAAGGCTCTCAAATAAAATACCATTACTTTGAAGTTTTCTGGATACCAAATTGTCATTACATTTTAAGGACTTTGAAACTTCCTCTGAGTTTGGTACCTGTGAATCCTGGAGCCAAGGTTTAGAAGTGTTTAGGAACCCACACTTGCAGACAGAGCTATGCAGGAATTCACATTCTGTTTTTTAGCATTTTGGGCTACGTGCTCAACAAGGCCTAGATTCGACGCAGCACTTACATTCTCCTTTCAGGTTAAGCATTTTTTTCAGAAGGGGACTAAGATATTGAAGTGACATGCTCAAGAAATTGCTTCAAAGCAGGTGTGATGCTAAAGAGAAGCTTAATGCTTTACAAACAGTTGTAAAGATAACAAACGTGGTCCCAAACCAATAATTTAAAAACCTCCTCTGTAACTGAGGAATTATATGCCTTGTGTACGGGCTGGACGCTGGCGACCGGGGCAGTGAGAGCCAGAGGTCTAAGCACGGGGACATCTGCATGCTTCTGTCATTGCGCAGCAGTGTGCCAGGCAGCCTGACTCAGTCTTTGCACCTGATAATTTCCTTTCTTAGCTACAGAAGTGATAAAGGAGCATTCTGCTGCCTGGATGCTCTGTTGTGTTCTCTCTCCCTTTTCAAGGCTGTAAGAGAATCTTATTTGTGTCATCAAATAAGGCAGCATTCAGAGAATAATCCCAGAAAGACCAGGAAAAAAAGAGTGTGGGTATTTTCCGAGCCTGCTAGAATACCTATAGCTGAAAGAAGGCGAACAGCTTGATTCCTTGAGCACGTCCTTTATTGCTCTGTCATTCTCTGGGAACATTAGGGACTGTGTTTAAGAAGCTGCATCAGTTTCAGATGTTATGCACCTCATTAATCAAAACAGCTCCTTTTGGAAGGCAGTTGATTGCAGCTTAGGCACAGAAGTGCTTACACCTCAGCATCCCTTGGTGCCTAGAGAAGGAAAAAAGTAGAGGAAAAAGACCTTTACCGCTATCACTGGCTTTGTTCACATTATCTAATCTACAGGATTGTTTGAAAATCGAGATTTATTTCCCTAGAAAAAGCTTGTTCTACCAGAAGTTGGGATGAAAAGAATAAAACTAAATAATATTAGTGCCAGGTAGCTTCTCTGTAGAGTATTTCAAATGAGTCACAGCTTGTCCAGGTTGTGCCAGGAGGTGGGAGGACAAGAGGAGCAGGTGAATGCTTTGGAGAAAGGATTGGAGAGCAGGCAAACAAAGATGAAGAAGCATGTGCTGTCTGTGTGCATGGTGAAGTCACTGCTGGTGGCTGCATTTCCTTAAAGTAAGAGCTTAAGTACCATCCTGCTGCTTTAAACGGCAGAGTTATCTTAGGCCGGTGACAAGTGACTCCTGGGGGGGAAAGGTGAACATTTGCTTATGAAAGCAGAAGCACAGCGATTCTCAGGGAACCGGTGAGGGTTTCCTCACTGCTTGCAGTGGGCATTGGCTGCCTGCATTTAGCCTCCCTGCCAGTCTGCAGGGTTCACATGGTTTCTTTTTTCTGGGAGGAATGATTTTAACTATATAAAACAACAAACATTCTAGAAAGCCACAGATCCTGAGTCTGTGCAAAAATATCTGCAAACAGCCTCTTACATGGCTAAACGTATTCTTAATTTAACTCCCCTGGTTTCAAAGGCTTTACATTAGAAAATAATTGGAACTGGTTTATCAGTCTAAGAGCTTCATAAGCATAGTGGAATAAACAGCCATTCCCAGGGCAGGGCAGGGCAGGGCTGATGGCCACTTTTTCTTCCTTTTCTCGGGACCAAAAAAAAAAAAAAAAAAAAAAAAAAAAGGTAGAGAAAAGCCTGATTTAAGCTTTTTTTCTATGGCTTTGGCCTCTGTGTTACATGAGGTGGTGCCTCATGGCCAGCAGTGAGAGGAAGGAAGATTCCCACCCCGAGCTGTCCTTCTGCAGAAAGCGCTGACTCAGGTGCCCAGCGGAGTGGGCTTCCCCGCAGCGCAGGGAGAGCCCACGCATCCCACACGCGCCTTCGCCATCCTGGTCCAGCCTCCCTCGTTCCGGTAGGGGAGCTCTCCGAGATGCAGCCTCCCGTTTTTTGAATGACTTCTATGGATCCAACCCCTCAGGGAGAAATAGTAGCATTTGGCATGTCTAACGGGAAGCAAGGCAGCAAAGGAAAAGAACCTTCCAAACCTTTCTTCTAAAAAACACAAAGGGGTTCCCAGCAGGCAAACTTGTGCCAGAACAGACAGGCACTCCCCAAGCCCCTGCTTTGCATGCAAGTGAGATTTTCAAGGTGAAGCGATATTTCCTCCTTTAGATTTGGATTTGCCCCATCCCACCCACCCTCCTCCTCCCCCCCACCCGTGTCTTCACCAGAAAACCTGCAGCCAAGCAGCCGCAACTCCAGAAGGAGACAAGGATCGCCAGCATCTAAGAGAAAAAGGAATCTTCTTGCTCCTATTGTTTTTATGATGCTGCTATTTTTAAATTCACAGCTGCCCGGTAGGTTTTGCTGCTAAACCAAGGATGACATTAAGCGGGGTGCTCCCTCAGCTGCAGCCGAGCCGCGGCTGACTCCTGGTGAGCGGCAAGAGCCCCGCAGTGCCCAGGCGCCGTGGATGTTGCAGCCCAGCAGCAGCAGCAGCAGCAGCGTTGCGGCGTGCCTCCTGCCACACACACCCTTGGCAGCCAGACGTTGCCCTTTTAAGAAGCCCGGGTGCTGGCTCAGGTAGGCAGAGCCTGTGTGCAGTAGTCGCTCCTATGGCAACCCAATAGAATGGGATCGCTTCATGAATATTCTCAGGAGCCGGGGCTGCATGAGGAATAAGTGATGACAGTGATGTAAGCAAGCAGTGGCTGCTGCAGGTTGCAGTTCATTGTGTTATTGGCCGGCAGGTTGAGGAGTTTGAGGCACCTAGGCTTGCGCTTCGCTTTTCGGATGATGTCTGCCCGCCGGGAGACACTGCACATTTGCATCTCGAAGCCAACATGGCAAGGCGGCTGCTGCTGCTGCTGCCGCCCTCCCTCGCCTTCCAGCCAGAAGTGTGTGGCTCTCCTCTAGACTTCTTGCCCAGTGCTCTGGATCTGAGCAGACAGGGATTGCAGTAACACTCACCAAGGGGAGGCAAGCAGCAAGTAGCCAAATCGGGACAGGGGAGGAGAGGGGGGGCTTTTTTGCCTTCCCTCTTTTTTTTTTCCTTCCGTTCTGGATGCAGAGCCCATGCGTTGATGCGGAGCCTGTGGATGCCACAGTCTGGTAAGGAGATGACACGCCAGCCTCTGGTCCCTCCTGCCTCTTGAGCTGGGGGCAGGGGCCTGGGGGCAGTGACGGTTCCCCTCCTTTGGCACAGTCGGGGGGTCTCTCCCCCTCACTGAGCAGCAGCAGCAGCAGCAGCAGCGGCCATGGACAAGCTGCCCCCCTCCATGCGCAAGAGGCTCTACAGCCTGCCCCAGCAGATAGGACCCAAGGCGTCGATCATGGATGAGGAGGAAGACAGCGACAAGGACACCCGGAGGAAAAGCATCAGGCTCAAGCCACTGCCTTCGCCCTCTGCTGGGAGCACCCGGGCACTCGGGGGAGACCCCAGCAGAGGGGGAGACCCCGGCCTTCTGGAGACGGAGGCAGGCAGCAAAGGCGCCAAGACCAGCACCAACGGGGACTGCCGCCGCTTCAAAGGGAGCCTGTCCTCGCTGACCAGCAGGCACCTCCACGATGCGGCTGAGGAGAAGAGGCTGATCGGCGGCGAAGGGGAGCCAGCCTCCCCCGGAGAGGACAAGAGCCCCCCTGGCAGTGGGGAGACGGAGCAGGGACTGCCAGCACCCCCGCCACCGGCATCCCCCCCGGAGTCCCAGCAGCAGCCCCCCCGGGCTTGCTCCTCTACCTCCATCAAAGTGGAAGGAGGTGGAGGGTGCGATCAGATCACCCCAGATGAGGAGCAGAGGCTGGGCCAAGCCGGTTTCATGCAGAGGCAGTTCGGGGCCATGCTCCAGCCGGGGGTCAACAAATTCTCCTTGAGGATGTTTGGCAGCCAGAAGGCCGTGGAGAGGGAGCAGGAAAGGGTTAAGTCTGCCGGGTTCTGGATCATCCATCCCTACAGTGACTTCAGGTACAATCTCCCCTTCCTGGCCCACTCAAAACTGGCCTGCCCCTTCCCCTACCCTGTCCAGCTCAGACCTTTCTGCACAGAGCACACACCCAGGGATAACTTTCCTTGCTAATTTCCTAGTCAGAAGAGCTGGAGGACACATCCAAGATCTGCTTCAGTCAAACAATCTGCATGTTTTGTTTATATTTTAGCTTAATTTTAGTGTCCCCATGCTACTATTATTTTTAAATTGTGTTTTTAAACTAACAGATGCCTCTTGCTTCAGCATTTTATAAGGGAAAGCCTCTCCATAGTCCTGTGTAAATGGGGAAAAATGTTCCCACCTGATGCACAACTCCAGACTAAAAGCACAATGTCTGCTGCTTAACTACTCCTGCATCTCCAGCTCACAACCTGCAGTCTGCCAGTTTAATGTTTCGTTTCCCATTTTAATACCTCAAAGTCCTCTCCCTTCTCCTTCCCCAAGAGTTAGGGAATGATGCTGCCACTGTTGCTGCTCTGTACAGCTTCTTACTGCAGCATCGCTTGTCAGGAATTGGTATGTGCAGAGGATGATAGCAGCGTTCATTCTGAAGGAACTTAAGACCTTCAGAGTCTTACAGACAAAGATCTGCTCTTTTGCATCTGCAGATGCTTATTTGCAAGACTAATTTGGGCAGGGAATAGTTAACGTTGTCTTTAGGAGAGTAATGGCTTTCTTTCACTCAGATAGCAACATTGCCATGAAGGTTAATAAAAAAATTAACTTGTAAACAGTAGAACCAATTATTGTACAGTTTCAATCACATAGCTGGGGGGGGGGGGCTGTGTTTAGGCATTTCTGAGTAAAGTATTGTCTACTGCACAGGTGAATTGTCCTCTGCAATACGTATGTAAAGTGCTGCAATCAATAATTAATTACTTAGTGCAATCAATGGCTAAGGGTTACTGCTTCAACGTTAATTACAACTGGCTTACATTTCACATTTAAAAGCACACAGTAGAAGCACATTATTCAAACACAGCCATCAAATTACGTGATTTTATTGAATTCTTGGACTCTAAAAGAAATGTTGCCTTATTCAGTAAAATATAGTTAGCAAGATAATTGCAGGAAGGAGTTGCAGGATGGATTTTGGTGCCCAATGACAGAAACCTCTTGGCACTACCTTTTAGGGATTTAACAAGCTTAGAAGATTCAGGACTGGCACTGAACAGATTCCTGGATACTTGCTTGGATTAACAAACATTATTAGAAGGCGATGTGAATTGGAAGACTGCACTGTCATTTAAATTCAGCGCAGTCAAGTGTCCCAAGCATAGAGCTGACCGAGCATATGAGGGTTTCCAGTAGCTACGTCGTGATGCACAGTCCTTGTAAGTACAATCTTATTCAAACACAGATTGGAAAAAGTATAAAATTGCCTCACTGTTGTGACTGGTCAAATAATACCTCACAAACACAGAGAAATGTGAGAGGGTTTAGCTTTAGAAAGAACAAACCAATTTCATTCTTTTGGCTACAGATCTTTGTATATTTGCCACAAGCCTAGAGTTAAAAACTAACTGCTGTGCTTTCTTGGATTATTCTAGCAAAGTGCTCTCTGTGTGTTGCATCTTAGAGGAATTTTGGATTTAGTCTCTGGATCATATTTGGATTTATCCTAAAGTAGCCTTCAGTTTGTATATCTTTTATATATCTGTAGAACGGATTTATGCCCTTACGTCTTTATGACTGTTTCCAGCACTGAACCAGACTGGCAAACTTCAGTAGAAGGATTGTGGCAGTAGCTGAGGTATCCAGCTTGCCCAAGGTGAGATGGTCCTAAGAGTTAATTTGTTGAATATTCCTAGTGAACCAGTGCTTATTCCTTAAAATGGCATAGCAAATTACCAGGCAAGTTTTTATTTGTGAGGTACTTGGCCATAGGGCCACTCCTAGACTTACACAAAGGAATGAAATACGCAGGCAAACTAGACTCTCCCAAGCCTGCTGATCATACAGAGTGCTAACACCCAAATGTTCACATGCAGGCAGTTACAAATGTATCCATGTATGACTTGTTAGGTTAAGAACAAAATCCTCTGCAAGGTAGCTTTGCATTTCTGTAGAGAAAGCAAAGTGAGTTGGATATCTGTGCCCTGGTGTGAGAAATTGTCTGCCTGGTGTCAGATTCCAGGTAGGCTGAGAGCTTGCCGTTTTGTGTTTCTTCTAAATTGATGCTAGAAGCCGAGCACACAAATATGTGCTTCCTCCCTACTATTATGGATCAGCATCAGATGGGGCAGTGGTATTGATTGTGCAGAGAAACATCTGAAGAGGCCGGGAGGAGTTGGATGCACTATTGTATGGTCAGTATGTGCATTTTCCGGGGAACTTTGTTCACCCGTGTTTCTAGGTCACTTGCAGCATATCTGTTTCAATGTGACTGCTACTTAGAGAAAATGCGTGGACTATCATGAAAAATAACCTGTGAACAATGGCTGCAGTGAAGGAGAAGAGTGGGAGCTTTCCCAGATGCTGTTCGGATTAGGTATTCCCTTCTGCTCTGAGTGCTACCAAAGCATCTCTCGGAAACAACTCATACGAATATGAGTAACATTTCTTGACCTCCGAAATGCAGTAGATTGCGCCACAGAGCAGGTATGACCAAGATATTTTCAAGAGCTATATCCTTGGCCCAAAGGACTCCGTTTGCTGCTTTGCAAATTACGCAGTGCAAGGCGTGCTTGCTCCTTGCTATAGATGGGTGCAGATCCTGGAGCATTAGGATGCTGTGAGAGGCACGAGTCTCCATTATCTGGCACTTTGCATTGTCACCAAAGCTGTACAGTAGCATTTGGTGTACAAGTTTCAAGTTAATAAATACTCAGCCCCGGATCTTTTTTCCAGTCTTTTTGGAGAAACCGGCTATGCCTCTGAGAGCGAGGTGCATCTCCAGGTGTTTTGGTAGAGCTCCAGACCTCACGACTCCTGGCTACGTACAGCTCAAGACGTGAACTTTTGAATTGAACGCTCTGACCCTAATTAGCAGAGCTTGATTTTGCTGTAAAATTACATTTGTGCAATTCCTCTGACTTCATGGAGTAACTTTCCTTTGTGCTATGTGAGAGGCATTCTGGTTTTAGAATAGAACAGAGGCTTTCATCATTGTCTCATTAAATTATCATTTTAGCATCTAATATGGCTAATTCCAGTGGCAAATCTATGACCCTCAAAGAGTAAAGCAAATTAATATAGATTAAGGCTCTGTTGATTTCTGCTTTTAGTCCATTGTGAGGGGAAAAGACACCGAATGACCTTTATAAAAACCAGACTCAGTGCCCCTGAGTACTCATGACTAATGCAATGGACTAGTTCTGGGAGCACTTTAAAGGTGTCTTAGTGATTTCTAATGAAAATAAGAGTACTAGCTCCTCTTCTGAGGTTCAGATCTAAGTGCTAGTTACTTGAGTTTATTTGCATCTGTGGCTGATTGCACATCAGTGCAGAGCCAAAGTGTAGATCAAGATTTATCTGAGGCTCTGAGAGCTTTTTCAGTGGATAGATAGAATTGCAATTTATTGCTTAGAGGATGCATTGATCTAGTAAAATTGGTTTAATAAAAAAAAATTCCAGACAAACAATGATCTATCTAGTCTGAAGTTGAATGAAGCATATTGGTTGGAGCTGCTCTCCAGAATTGCTTGCAAAACAGTGGAGCATGCTGCTTTTAGAAAGGCCTGAGAACAGATACGCTATCTGAAGGACCAAAATAGTCCAAACAGTGGATGTAAATAGAACTACACATTATTCACTGCCCAGTAATCTATTAACTTCTTCACAGGAAAAAGAAGCTGCTGCTTGCTTGAAAACAATGGAAAATATTCCACTCGGTCCTAACTTGAGATTTTGGATTTTATCTTTCCACTGTTCTCACTTACTTGGAATACTTATTTGCAAACAGACCCTTTTGTTTGTTTGCTTCCTCTTCAAGACCCCCACACCTGCTCAGGAGCTGGGGAGATTTCTGTGGCACCAAAAGAAATAGATGCGGAGGTGTAATGTGTGAGGTAGGGGAATTTCTGAAGAACAAAATCATTTGCTCCCCTTCATGCTGGTCCAGACCTCTCAGCAGTGTCAGTCAGACACTTCCCTCGGGGAATCAGTGCGATTTATTAATTATACTACTAAACACTGACCCCAATTGCAGTGGCAGGATTGAGCAAAAATGGGAAGGATGCATGCTTCCCTTTCCCACTCTCCTGAACAGAGGTGATTGCCAGAGTGCCTCACGGGGTGCTGCTCTGTCTGTGGAGATTGTTTTCAGTTGTAAGCTTTTCCTTTTCGCTATTTGTTAAGAGGGTAAACAATTTGTGAAGCATGCAGCACGCTCCCTGGCTTTAGCGGTTCACTTAGGTGGGTGTTGCTCTTCCCGCTCTCAGACAATAATGCTCTTTTCTCTACCTGCTGCCCAGAATGCTGCTGCTTGTGCCTGCCTTCATGCCTCTCCACATTCAAAGGCTGCCCACAATGGCAAATGCTGATCTTGTGACTTGCCCACTGCTCACATGAAAGTAAAATGAAAGCTAGCCATTGTGTGAGCCTTATGTACTGCAAATTGCAATTCTGGTTCACTGAAACCTCTGCTTGGAGGGAAAGGCGGGGGAAACGTCTGCATTAGTAGCAGAACCTGTGCCAGTCATTAGAAACAAACAAAAAGTGCAAATCAGGCATGGGCTTGGTGGTGGGCAGCTCATATATATGCCTGTCTTTTCTTGTTTGTGCTGATGGCAGTTGCCTTAAAATCATGTGGGGGCACTGCTAGCTGAGGAAGGGAGATGTTCCTGAAGTCAGACCTTGCTGTCTTTACTGCAGAGAACTTTCCTGCCAATTCCCAGGGCAGTTTTGCTGGAGCTGAACAAGGGAATCCAAGCAGGAATAACATGAGGGATAATCCAAATCCTGCTGAGTAACATGGATTAGGCTTCTGTTGTCTTCAGTGGACTGTGAATCAAGCTGCAGGAGAGGAAATGTGGTT